TTAGTGAGTAGAGAGTATTGTTCACAGACGACATGTATAGAGTACAGAGTATAGAGTAGGGCTGAAAAGGACACATCAGATCTCTGGGGTGGGGATTCGGGTAAATGCAGAATAGCACCGCCTTTCTTCAGGTTTCCCTTCAGTAGCCCATGTACAGGTGTGTTCTCACCAGGTTATAAGCTCCATGAGAATGGATTTTTTTAAATTATGTTTTTATTTTCAATGGATAAATTACAATTGTGTATTTTTATGGGGTACAATGTGATATTTTGATGCATATATACGATGCGGAATGATTAAGTCAAGCTAATTAACATATCCATCACCACATATATATATGTTTTGTGGTGAGAATATTTGAAATTTACTCTCAGCAATTTTGAAATATACAATACCTTGTTAGTAACTGTAGTCACCCTGCTATGTAGTAGATCTCGAAAAGTGAGATGATGTTTCTGTGCCTGGCTTACCCCATGGACTGTATCTAGCATCCTGCCTTCCAGGTTCATCCATGTTGTCATAAATGGCAGAATTCCTTTCTCTTCTCTTTTCTTTTCTTTTCTTTTCTTTTCTTTTCCTACCTTCCTCTCTCTCCCTTCCTTCATTCCCTCCTTCCTTCCTTCTTTCCTTCCTTACTTCCTTCCCTCCCTCCTTCTTTCCTTCTTTTCTCTTCTTTTTTTGACAGCGTCTTGCTCTGTCACCAGGTTGGAGTGCAGTGGCGCCATCTCGGCTCACTGCAACCTCTGCCTCCCTGCTTCAAATAATTCTCGTGCCTCAGCCTCCCAAGTAGCTGGGATTACAGGTGTGCACCACTGAGTCTGGCTACTTTTTGTATTTTTAGTAGAGACAGGGTTTCACCATGTTGGTCAGGCTGGTCTCGAACTCCTGACCTCAAGTGATCCACCCACCTTGGCCTCCTGAAGTGCTGGAATTACAGGTGTGAGCCACCGCGACTGCCAGAATTCCTTTCTTTTTAATGTCTGAATAGTATCCCATTGTGTATGTAAACCACATTTTCTTTATCCAGTCATCTGTTGATGGCCACTTAGGTTGACTACATATTTTGACTATTGTGAATAATGCTGCATTGAACAAGAGGCACAGATCTCTTTGACATCCTGGTTTCAAATCAAGACCGAGGTTTTGTTTTTGTTTTTTGACTGATACTGATGTAGCTCAAGCACCTAGAACAACGTCTGGTACATAACAGATTCTCAACAAATGCCCCTATCTGCCCTGTCCCGTCATTCTGAGCTGGGCAGTACCTTAGTGTGGTGACTTCAGAAGCCTTCCTAAGTCTGGTGATCTGACCCGTGCAGAGGGCTCTAATGCCATGGCTGGGGTGCCATGGGAGGGTTCCAGCTGTGCTCTCTCTGTGTGGAGGATGAACCTAATACTTCAGGCAGCCTTGGCTTCAGGTGTACCAGGGAGGCTGGGAGATGGGATGAGAACTGTGAGTGATAGCCGTGTGCAAGACACAGGCCTCATGTTTCTTTTTGACCTTGGACTCCCTCTGCAGGTGGCTCCATGTTAATCTCTGCAGTCTACTGCTTCTTCCTGTTTTTTGGCAACAGCGAGTCTGCGATGGTCGGCTGGCAGTGCCTGTTCTGTGGGACAAGCATTGCGGCCTGGAATGCTCTGGATGTGATCACAGTGGAGCTGTATCCCACCAACCAGAGGTCAGTTCTTCCATGGGCTTTCCTCAGGGACTTGTTTGGGTTTCTTTGGTCAGAAGTCTACCTGCTCCCTGAATCTCTTGCTGTGCATGGCCATCGTGGTCTTTCTGCTGTTCCATCAAACAAACGTCTCTTACGTTGAGCTTCTCCTGCATGGGGGATGGCATAGACCTGAAAGTTGGCAGGCTAGGGCTGGATAAGGTTGGAAGGATGGCAAGAAGCAAAGGATGGGAGCAGACTATGTCCAGGAGAAGGAAATAAGAGTGAAAAGTTGGCAAAACCATATGTGTCATGTAATCCACAAGAGAGAACAGACCTGCC